ATATTTGCTTTTTTTTTGTTTTTTTTTGTATTTGACTTTGATTGTTATTTTTAATTTTTATTTTGTTTTTTTTTTTTGTTTTTTATTTTGATTTTTTTGTTATGTTTGTTTTATTTTTGATTTATATTATTAGTTTTAATTTTTGGTATATGTGTTTAATTTATTTTTTTTTGTTTTTGATTATAATTTTTTTTATGTTTTTTTTTTAGTTTTATTTTTATGTTTTTCATTTTTTGTCATTATAATAGATTTAATTTTTGCTTTTATTATTATATATTTGATATTGTTTTTATTTTTATATTTAATTTATATTTTGTTTTTGTTTTGTATTAATTTTTTTTATTTTGATTAATTTTATGTTTTATATTGTTTTTTTTGTATTTTTGTTTATTATTATTAATTTTTATTTTCTTTTTTTGCTTTACATTTTAATTATTTTTGGTTTTTATTTTTGATTTATATTTTTATTATTTATTTATATTTTATTTATGTAATTTATGTTTATGATTTTAATTTTGTTTACTTTTTTTTGTTTTTGATTTTAAATTTTTGATAAGATTCTTTTTATTGGTTGGTTTTTGAGACAATTTTTTTAAAGTTTAATTTTTGAAAGAATTTTTTTTTTAAATTTAGTTTTTGAGAGAATTTTTTAATAAATCTTTAGACAGGATTTTTTTTAGTTTAGTTTTTGACAGTATTTTTTTAAAGTTTAGTTTTTGAGAGGATTTTTTTTAGCTTACTTTTTGAGAGGATTTTTTTTAAAGTTTAGTTTTTGAGAGGATTTTTTTTTAAGTTTGGTTTTTGAGAGGTTTTTTTAAGGTTAGTTTTTATAAGATTTTTTTAAAGGTTAGTATTTCAGAGGTTATTTTATAGGTTACTTTTTGAGAGAATTTAAGTTTAGTTTTGAGAGGATTTTTTTTATGTTAGTTTTATAGTTTGAGGATTTTTATAGGTAAGATTATTTTTTTTAAAGTTTGGTTTTGAGTAATTTTTTTTAAAGGTTAGTTTTTTATATGATTTTTTTTAAAGGTTAGTATTTGAGAGGTTTTCTTATAGGTTACTTTTTGAGAGAATTTAACTTTAGTTTTTGAGAGGATTTTTTTTTAAGTTTAATTATTGAGATGATTATTTTATAGGTTAGTTTTTGAGAGGATTTTTTTTATAGTTTAGTTTTTGAAAAGATTTTTTATAGGTTGGTTTTTGTGAGGATTTTTTTATAGCTTACTTGTTGAGATGGTTTTTTTAAATTTTAGTTTTTGAGAGGATTTTTTTAAGTTTAGTTTTTGAAAGGATTTTTTTTAAAGGTTAGTTTTTGATAAGATTTTTTTAAAGTTTAGTTTTTGAGATGATTTTTTTATAGGTTAGGTTTTGAGAAGATTTTTTTTGTAAGTTTATTTTTTAAGTTTATTTTTTAAGATGATTTTTTTAAATTTTAGTTTTTGAAAGGATTTTTTTAAATTTAGTTTTTGAGAGGATTTTTTTTTAAAGGTTAGTTTTTGATAAGATTTTTTTTAAAAGTTTAGTTTTTAAGATGATTTTTTTATAGGTTAGGTTTTGAGAGGATTTTTTTTGTAAGTTTATTTTTTGACAGGATTTTTTTTAAATGTTAGTTTTTGATAAGATTTTATTTAAAGTTTAGTATTTGAGAGGTTATTTTAAAGTTTAGTTTTTGACAGTATTTTTTTTTTAAAGGCTTGTTTTTGATTAGATTTATTTTAAAAATTAGTTTTTGAGAGGTTTTTTTTTAAAGGTTAGTTTTTGATAATACTTTTTTTAAAGTTTAGTATTTGAGAGGTTTTTTTATAGATAACTTTTTGGGAGAATTTTTTTCAAAGTTTAGTTTTTGAGTGAATTTTTATTAAAGTTTAGTTTTTAAGATGATTTTTTTATAGGTTAGATTTTGAGAGGATTTTTTTTGTAAGTTTATTTTTTGACAGGATTATTTTTAAATGTTAGTTTTTGATAAGATTTTATTTAAAGTTTAGTATTTGAGAGGTTTTTTTATAGGTTAATTTTTGAGAGAATTTTTTTTAAAGTTAGAGGATTTTTTTTTAAAGTTTGGTTTTTGAGATGTTTTTTTATAGGTTACTTTTTGAGAGGGTTTCTTTTAATGTTTAGTTTTTGAGAGGTTTTTTTAAAGTTTAGTTTTTGACAGTTTTTTTTAAAGGCTTGTTTTTGATTAGATTTATTTTAAAGGTTAGTTATTGAGAGGTTTATTTTTAAAGGTTAGTTTTTGATAATATATTTTTTAAAGTTTAGTATTTGACAGGTTTTTTTATAGGTTACTTTTTGGGAGAATTTTTTATTAAAGTTTAGTTTTTGAGATGATTTTTTTATAGGTTACTTTTTGAGCGGTTTCTTTTAATGTTTATTTTGAGAGGATTTTTTTAAAGTTTAGTTTTAGTCAGTATTTTTTTTAAAGGTTTATTTTTGATAAGATTTTTTTTAAATTTTAGTATTTGAAAGGTTTTTTTTACTTTTTGAGAGAATTTTTTTTAAAGTTTAGTTTTTAAGATAATTTTTTCATAGGTTAGTTTTTGAGAGAATTTTTTAAGTTTAGTTTTTGAGAGGATTTTTTTATAGGTTAAGTTTTTTACAGGATTTTTTTTCAAGGTTAGTTTTGGATAAGATTTTAATTAAAGTTTAGTTTTTGAGAGGATTTTTTTTTAATTTAGTTTTTGAAAGGATCCTTTTAAAAGTTTAGTTTTTGGGAGGATTTTTTTAAAAGTTTAGTTTTTGAGATGATTTTTTTATAGGTTAGTTTTTGAGATAATTTTTTTATAGGTAACTTTTTGTGAGGTTTTTATTTAAATATGATTTTTTATTCCTTTTGAGAGGATTTTTTTTAAATTTAGTTTTTGAGAGGATTTTTTTATAGGTTTATTTTTGAGAAGATTTATTTAAAAGTTTAGTTTTTGAGATGATTTTTTTATAGGGTAGTTTTTGAATAATTTTTTTATAGGTTACTTTTTGAGAGGATTTTTTTTAAAGGTTTAGTTTATGAGATGATTTTTTTATAGGGTAGTTTTTGAGATAATTTTTTTTAGGTTACTTTTTGAGAGATTTTTTAAAGTTTAGTTTTTGAGAGAATTTTTTTTATAGGTTAGTTTTTAAGAAATTTTTTTATAGGTTACTTTTGAGAGTTTTTTTAAAGTTTAGTTTTTGAGAAAATTTTTTTTATAGGTTAGTTTTTAAGATAATTTTTTATAGGTTACTATTGAGAGTTTTTTTAAAGTTTAGTTTTTGAGAGAATTTTTTTATAGGTTAGTTTTTAAGATAATTTTTATATAGGTTACTTTTGAGAGTTTTTTTAAAGTTTAGTTTTTGAGAGGATTTTTTATAGGTTACTTTTTGAGACGATTTTTTTTATAGTTTAGTTTTTGAGATAATTTATTTATAGCTTACTTTGAGAGAGGTTTTTTAAAGTTTAGTTTTTGAGAGAATTTTTTTAAAGTTTAAGACAGTATTTTTTTATAGGTTACTTTTTGAGAAGATTTAAAAGTTTAGTTTTTGAGATGATTTTTTTATAGGGTAGTTTTAGAAATAATTTTTTTATAGGATACTTTTTGAGAGGATTTTTTTTAAAGTTTAGTTTTTGGGAGGATTTTTTTAAAAGTTTAGTTTTTGAGATGATTTTTTTATATTGTAGTTTTTGAGATAATTTTTTTTTAGGTTACTTTTTGAGAGATTTTTTAAAGTTTAGTTTTTGAGATAATTTTTTTTATAGGTTAGTTTTTAAGATAATTTTTTTATAGGTTACTATTGAGAGTTTTTTTAAAGTTTAGTTTTTGAGAGAATTTTTTTATAGGTTTTTGAGAGGATTTTTTATAGGTTACTTTTTGAGAGGATTTTTTTTATAGTTTAGTTTTTGTAAGGATTTTTTTAATGGTTATTTTTTGAGATAATTTTTTTATAGGTTAGTTTTTGAGAGGATTTTAGGTTTTTTTTAAATCTTTCACATCTATGTTTCCTCTTTTTTTTCTTTCTATGCTCCCCTAAAATCCATCTCCCACCTTCACGTGGTGGGGAGCGAACAGCAATAGCTGACTAACGGGAGCTCTGGTGATCAGGTAAAGTTAGAGATGAGTTATTTGACTAAACCATCGTTAAGATATTAAATATAAATATTTTAAAATGTCTTGTGTTACTATATTCGTTAGGTAAGAATCCGCTAATAACATCTACCTAAGACTTTTAATAGCTAACTGAAATTTTCCTATGTAATTGTAGAAATAACAATAAATATTGGCTTGTACGAGTCTTGCAATCTATTTGTTCTATCATGAGTAATTTAGATTAACGTCACTTTTGCTAGAAACTAATGATTTCTGTAACATTATATGTATATGGTATCATAAGTTCACCTAATCCCAGTAATGTCATCAGAGTAAAAATATAAATTTCAGAGGATGATGGATCAAAACTAACAAAGATAATTATTATAATATATATAATATTAAAATGTTTTAATCAACATTAATTAGGATTTAGATATATTTATTCAAAAGAATGGAAATATAATACTTTAGGAAAGATACCATTAGACGAAAAAAAAATAATAAAGATGTTTAGAAAAATTAAAAGATGTTTGGGTGTTTGATAGAATTTTCAATGATGTTATTTGAAGAGATTCTGAAACTTTTAAACTGGGTATAAAAACAAGTTAATGTTCATTGAAATAAATTATCACACATTAAGTTAAATTTCAGTGTTTCATTTTAATAGTAAAGAAAATTGAAATTTTTAATTACATTAATTGAATTTTAAATTATATTAATTAAAATTTGGGTACATATTTAAATATTATTTGATTAACAATTTTTTTTAAAAATAAAAATTTGTAAAGTAATTGTAATGTAAAACCAGCACCGTTTAACAAATATGGAATTTAATTGTGTTAAAATATCTTATATAAAATATGAATAGAAATCTAATAATAAATATTGAAAAAAATTGATTCTCTTTGCTCATATTATTTTGTAAGTTGCCCATAACTCCATTTAAATCCAAAGCGAACATTTATTAGGAGGGTTCATCTTTGCTTTAGTAGAACAGTTAAATGCCTTTGAGAACTGTTTTAAGTTAGACACAACACCGTTGATTCTATGAAATATAATTAAGTATGTTAATTTTATTTTTAATCAAAGATTTATATGGAATTTTCATGTCTAATCCTTATTATTATAATATTTTCTATTATTTTTTACTCTCCATAGGAACTTACTCTCCTACCCCCACTATATGATGTATTAAACTCCTAACCCCCCCCCCCCCTCACCATCAGGATTATTTAATCACTGACTATAAACATGACGTTTTTATATAAATATATTAAATAGTGTTTTGCCTAAATATTATATTATTTTATTTTGCAACTATAGCTACAGTGCTACAAAGTAACGTTATTAGTAATTTTGTCCCAATTGAAAGAACGACTCATTCGTTACTTTTTTTAAACGTCTGATTTATATAAAATCGTGAAGAACTTTGCGAGCAAAAAACAAGAATGATATAATAATTTAGATATAATTAGAATGCTGTTACAAACTTAAAAATTTGAGATCGACCCTAATTTGTAAGAGAAAATATAACCCGATCCAAACATACGTTGGTCATTGTTTTTAAAGTTTTATTTACTCTTTTTATATGGCTATATATATGTGCTTAAGTAAAACTTTTACAAATAAATCTAAATAATCCGACATTTATTTACACAGACGCATGAAAATGAATAAGTAACCTGTATATTTTTGGGCTGTGAAAACTAGATATAATTTCCAATAATTGATTCTCCATTGTTTGCTTCTCACAATGTATCTTATTTTATTTATAAATAAATGTTATTTATTTTAATAACAAATTTATTATAAATAAACTTGAGCATACGCAAGGAAAAATAGTTGATCATCGGATATATTGGACTTGGAAGAGTATATGGCACTCTTGTTCATGGCTTGATAACTTTTCCAGGCCTATTTAATTTTCATAAAAACTTTATATTAATTTAGGAAAATAATCGTCTAAATAATTAATAGGCGAAAAGTTTTTAGACCGTATCCTAAGGTTAACTTAGATAATCAATTGCTTTTTAGTCTAGGGACTAAAAAGCTTCTAAACTATTATCTCAACATTCCAATTTTTGTATTTTTCAGCAAATAACAATTCACTATTTTTTCCGGTATTAAAAATTAAAATTTATTAGACAGCCATCATATAACTAAAATATTTCACTACTTAAAGGGAGGGAAAAAAAGAGTAGGAAAATTTTTCGTAAAAAATAGCATATATAGTCTATATTAAGCGAGGTTGAGACATGTTGATCAATTGACCGCTCAGTAGACACCTTAACTAAGTTTAACTCTAATTCTTAAAAAACGATATTAACAAAAAATAATGATAATTAGAGTATAGTTCAAATCTAAGGAGAAACTGAATCAAAATGACAGCTAAACCAGTTTATAGAGTTAAAAAATTTCAATATAGGTTTTATAGATTTTCGAGGTTCTATCGGCACTCTAGTAAATTAAAAAAAAAACCATATAATTGAATAATCTTATTTCTGATTATTTAACTTGTAAAGTTACGGAGAGTCCTTCGTTATCTGCTATATCTTCTCCTAAAGTTTTGTTGAAGTTTAACTTATGTATTTTTTTATTGATAAAGAGAGAAGAAAAATAAAAAAAAATAAGAATTACAAATTATTAATAATGACAAAGAATATAAAGCTGTTTTAGTGTGATAATCTTTCGCTAAATCCATCACCCGCAAATAATCAAATTCTGCATATACAATAATATTAAGAGGGCAAGCCTGCCCAATTTTGATTATTATATATATATATAAAATAATTGTTGTATTTGAATTTAAAAAATACCATAAGATAGCCAAACACCTACCTAACCTTATATTAATAAATTTTTAAATTTTTTTCTCAAGATTGAATCTAGTAAAAGTAAATATTTGCGTCAACAAGCCCCAAACTCAGGGCTTGTGGATTTAATAATTTTATTAAGTTCTCCATAATTCCATTATTTTCATGTACAATGAATTCATAAAAATAGACATTTTTACATAAAAATTCTTTATATAAAAATGAAAAAAATATGACATGATTTGAATTATAAAAAAGTGTAAAATTTTTAATAATTTTTATTTTTACCTAATTCTATTTGTATTAACAAAAATTATAATAACCAACTATTTATAAAAATATATAAAATTACTAAATAAAAATAAATATATATATGTAAGTAACGAAGGCTCTAACTAAAAAACAAGTATAATTATTTTAAAAAATTCCTAGTTGAAGTTTTTGTTTAAGAAATATGGATTCGCGGTTTTCATTTGTTATATTAAAAATTTTCCGCGATAAAATTTTTTTAAAAAAATATGTAGACTGGGAAAATTGCCGTTTGTTGATATGACTATTGACTGAAATATAAAATTATTGAATTCTGAATATTTATTAATTTTTTTTATTTTCCCAGCTAGTTAGAGTGTTTGAATTAATTGATGAAGGAAAGGAAGAGACGCAGGTTGCGTCCAAAATAAGGGATTTACCTTTGGACCAGGGGGTACAGGTTAAACCGTCGGGTCTAAGGTCATCCTGTTATGAAAGGTTTTGGATCGAGAATGTTGGGTATTTTTGCCTTATTAAAAGCGTTATGGATGATTTTGTTAATTGCTTTATGCAGGAGATAGCGACGACTACGGGTGCAGTTAAGGCTGTGTCGAGAGTTAGGATTCACGGGTAAATTGCATTGATGCATGTGTGAGGTTTTGTAAGTGAGCATCCAAGTCTAAATCCTATAGTAACTCTCAGTTGTTCGTTGGTTAAGAGGTTCTCTAAGGTTTGGATTGGAAGTGCTTCGAGCCATGTGCCATCCATATTTATCGTTGGATTTTAATAATTGTATGTCGTTAATATCGGCAGGGTTAAGGCAATTTTGTAGTTTCTTTATATAGGGGTTCATAATAGATTTGTTGAATATTTCGGTTGAAAATATAAAACCGTCTGGGGTAAGTTGATTCCATCGTTCGATTGCGAGTTATGAATGATGTGATAGTTGAATTGAGGGATAGGCCATTTGAGATAAATATAGATAGGGATAATAGTTCTAGAGGAATCGATTGGATACCACCTAGTTTAGCAGGTAATTGGGCAAGGTGCCAATTAAGGTTCGACAATGAGAGGTTGGGAATCTTTCCATAAAGGGTTAAAAGCGAATATCATGTTGATAGAAAAATTTTGAGGTGGTAAATGAGGAGGATGTTGAATTAATTTAAATATAGTGACCAATAAATACTTATATTACATTATTATATATATTTATATCATATTTGTAAGCATAATTTGATTGATCGCGTAGCCCTGATTCTACTACCCTTATTAATTTGATTAATACCTTTTAAAATAATCATGATAAATGAATTATAAAACTTTCTGAAATGCGAAAAAAGGAGTTTTTCATATAACGTCAATTTTATTATTTTAATGCCTACTAATAGTGTGACCTACTAAAATTTTGATTTTTACCTAAAAAAACCAGATTTTATCATAGAATATTTTAAATAGTTAAGTAAGAGGTATAAAATATTTTTAGCGTCAAATTTAGATATTATACAATGTTATTATAAAATTAAATTTGAATTTCTAAACATGTATGGTTTTATAATAAAATCCACTAAACCGACAAGCCCCCCGTTAACGCAATGGTTATACTGATGAGGCCTTGCAAGGTCAAACCCGGTCTATAGTAACAAAATCGATATCATGTATATACTTGAAATTTTCTAATAATATTAATACAAATGGTAAATTAAAATTAATTAAATTCAATTATAATTAATTTATATTGCCATAAATTATAATAATATAAACACCACGTGATAAAATAAATTAATCATTTAGTTATTATACTACTTAACTAATAGACATATTAGCAAGCATTCAATCAAATAGATATTTTATCTAGTACAGTCAAATCTGTCTAATTTGGATACTGTTGACCAAGATTTTTGAGCAACGTAGATAGTTGCCCAATTTATTAAGACTTTACTACTTTTCTTAAAAAACATTTTATCATTTGTTTTATTCTTGTTTAGCAAGGAAGTAATATATGTAACCATTTTAAATAATTTATTTATTTTTTATTGATTCATCAAATCATGAGTTATAAACTTAAACAAAATAAGAATGCATAAAATTATTATAAAATGGCTGTATATAAAATAACAATAATTTATGAAATAAGATGTTATATTTGTTTATTAATTCGCTACTTTGACATGAATAGTTTTAAAAAAATAATAAAATTTTAAAATATAAATAAATGAAAGCGATTAAAATACAATGCCCACTTTATAGAGGTCTTCGTAAAATGGACAAAAAAATAAAATCTGCCCACCATTAAAAACTAAACAGTTACCCAATTTTCAATGTATTTACTAATAGTAGTTAATAGGAATTGTATTAGGGCGCTAAATTTTGGTTAAATAAGGGAGTTGACCGATTAGCCCAAATTAGACTTGGTCTTACTGTTTAGAGTAGTGTTGTAAAACGGTCAGAGATCTTTAAAAACGACTTGATTAAGATCTTAACCAAAACAATATTATGTAAGCCTCAAGTGTAGAATAGATGATATCCAAACCTTTCTGCCACGAACTTAAATAATATTTTTGGCTAAAATTTTAATGAGGCCGTTTTTTTTAAGAATTGGGCCCTTTAACAACACTAGTATAGGGTAATAAATAAACCTGAGTTTTATTAATCGAATAATGAGAATATTGTTCTCCGTAACAATTTATTTTTTCTTCGTAAATTTTTATCGATTCGTTCGTCCACCATTGATTCAAATTACCTTTTTCGTCGTATTTCCTACCTATAAATATAATTGCATGTTTAATATATCAAGCAAGTATTTTTATAATATATTCTTTCATCTTATCTCTTACCACCCTTCTTTCCTTTCTAACTCTTTATAATACATAACATTTACCGTTATTATCAAAGCCGTGGCTTATTTCATGGGATATAATGCTTCCTATAGCTCCAAATAGATATGTTCTGTGAAATGAATAAAATATGAGTTATGTTTAAAACCCGGTTAATAAATATTAAGTGTATAAGAATTTTGGGGGAAAAACAAAATCAGTAGTGAATCTATGAAGGGAAAAATTTTGTGGAATGATATAAAGTAGATATTTTATTTTATTAAGAGATTGAAAATTCTCCTATATCATCGCACTATCGGATGAAGAGGAACTAATTAAGCGGAAGGGAGATTAACTATAAATAAAATTCGTAAAAATAAAAGATAGCTAATTGGAATAAGGGCACAGTCTTTCCTCCTCCTTCTTGTATATTATTCTATTATTTTCTTATCTACCCTATTAATTTTCTTCTACTGTTGGAACCTGGTAATTTATAAATAGAAGAGTAAAAACCTGATTTATTATATATAATTGTTTTTTAATCACATAGTGACTTTTTTCTATAACAAATTCTTAGCCAAACTGACGATATACCGAATAAAATCTATCTTGAAGCGTCGTTTGAATACAAATTATCTCGTGACACGTTCATTTTGGTTTCCCAAATAAAACTTTAATGTAAATTGTTTATATGAGAAACAAAAAGAGCGTGTCATCATCTAATTGATTTGTATTGATGCACATGTAAACAAATAAATATTCGGTCTAGGCAATTATGTCATACATTTTCAAACACAAAATATATTTTCCAATTAGTATAGTTACTAGGAAACCACAGGTTTTACACCTTAACAGCCTACCAACTCATATTTCAAACTCTGAAAACTTCTCAAATGTCGGAAAATCTATTTTTCCCCATTCAGGCTCACCTTTAAGCAAAGCAGCAAAATCCTATTTATAAACTCATTTAAGAATGTTAACAAATTAAACTAATTGTATTATATAATTAAAAGAAATAAATAGTAAAACAATTACTAAATCTGAAACCCTAAATAAAACAGGGTTCGGGTTCAGAAAAAATCGCTAGGGTTCTAAGAGTTTTGTAAGTTATATATTAAAAATGATATAATATAAAAATAATATTTGTTTGTAATATTATCTTGCCAGCTTGCTAATTTAGACTAGCTAGAAACTAGCTAAATTTTGATACTAATTGTGTTAGTGTCTGATATTGGTAATAAATGATATTTTGTTTATCTCATACTCTGGATAGGTTCTATCATATAACGGTTTTTGCAAAAGTCCTGCCAAAAAAGCTTTTGTAATATATAAATAAAAAATTGAATTATTTTTTAAATATTTCAATAAATAAATTGATTACAAAAGTTTTAAATTTAAGAGAGAAAAAAAAACTATATTTAAATTCTTAAATATTTATTATTAAAAATAGAAAACTTATATCGTTTTCGGCCCATGCGTAATAAGCATCAACGAAATGAGGAGGTAAATAGTATCTGCAAAATAGCGTTTTTATATTTATTTAATTGTATTCAATTTTTTTTCATTAAAACTTTAAAGATAATCTTTGTTAATCAAGTGAATGTCTTTGTCATCCTATTTTAGATGATACTCATAAATTCTTATTTTATAAAAAATTATTATAAATTTAAAGATTCTTTTGATTAATATTTTTAATTTTATTTGATTTATCTTTTTGCTAAAATATAATTACAGTGCCTTTAATAAACCTATATTAAAATAAAAAAGGAGAAAACTATCTAATAATCTATAAAGGAAATTATCGATATTCAAGGAAGACTTATTTCACCAAACTCATATTTTAATTTTTAAAATAACCTTTCCTTATCGATGGGCTCAAAAAGCCTTTTTAATTTGTTCAAATGGCTTGCTATATCTTGGTTGAGGTAATTTTTAAAGTACGAATTCTTTTTCATATTTAGCTTTGGAAAAAAATGAGATATAAAATTAATGTAAAAATTAAATTATATATTATGTATAATAATATTATTAATTTTCAAATTGAATTCTAAAAAAATCATGTTGGTGTCTGAGGTTTGTTTAGTGAGAATTTGAACTTTATTTAAACATATAGAAAATATTTCTGCGGCATAATTATAGAAAAGGTATTATTTTGTACTTTCTGGTTTAAAGGGGCATGATGCAATTAAATCAGCAATGATTAAAGAAAACAAGAAGGAAATAAATAAAATTTAAATAAAAACTTGCAAAAGCAAAACTTAATTAGTAATATTTAAAAACGTTCCAATTTAAAAATTATTTTGAATATAAATAAGAAATACAAGGAGCATGGGATATAATATACACTCATATATAAGAATCCTAAGAAACTAAGCAAAATCTAGCTAAGGGGGATTATTATCGGAGAAATAATAATTTCAAAGATTTTGAACTTATTAAATTTGATATGTTTCATTAGCGGTAAAAATATTTTTATTTACTCCTCGGTAATCTTTGTCCAGTTCTTTGGGAATTATTATGTAGTCAGGATAACCAATTTTGAGTTTTATCGCATCCACCTAATAAAGGTATTGTGCTAAATTTAAAAATCTGATATTAAAAAATTTACTATAAAGTAAAGTGTTATAACCCAAGTTGGTTATATCGGAATGGTGTATTAGTAAATTATCATTTATTCATAGATATATGCACTTTAAAAAAAATTCAGGGAAATTATTTTATAAAACCTTTGCGATAGATCTAGCCTTCGTAGTTATATCCATCCAATTAAGATTCTGCAAACTTGTTTTATAAGCCAATTTTATCATATCAACCATTCCATTTAGCTAGAAAATAAGAGTAGAAATAATAATATAATTTTTTAAATTGACAAAAAAAACTTTATCTATTACTTTCAATTTATCACTGGAGTAAAAATTGGATTTCAGGTAAAGGGAACTGATTGGGAAATTCATAAAAATGGGAATTTCTTCTAAACATAACTTCCAACCAGGAACAGTATTATTTATAAACTTAGGGTCATTGCTGAATTTTTTTGACAAATAACGTGTGAGAGGCCTTATCTTTTGCCACATTATGTAATGATGTAAAATTCTAATGATGTTTTATAAAATATATTAAACAAGATAAAATAGTTATGTAGTATAATTTTAGAAAAGAAAAGAATGAAAAGGAGTAAATAATATTAATTTTTTTTGTTGACTTTCTTTTATTTGAAGTACCTAGATGAGTTGGGTTGATTTAAGTACTGCTTGATAAGGCTAGTTAACTCTTTCATGTAGGAGATGGATGTGACCCAAAAGAGTTGATCGGCAGATATAGAGATGTTGAGAGGGTCGAACATTTGATTTATAAAACTTGTCCAATTCATCTTATTATAATGGTAGGATAAAAATATACTTTTATTTTTAGAATATTTATTGTTCATTGCTTTTTTCTAATAAATTGTGGTTTTGAAATTAAATTATTATTCCATATAAAAGTTTAATTTAGCCTATAAATATTATTCTGAAATTTTTGGCCTCTAGAGTTAAGGCGATAAATAGATTTTTATTTCTTAAAGTCAGGACCTGATATGTTATTTTTTTTTTAACCAAAAATATATTTAAATATTATATAAAACACATAATACTAAAATATTTACCTATCAAAACGTCTCATGTTTAATTGGCTAATATAATACATATTACATAGCAATAATTATAATTTTTAAATTTATAACTTCAAACTAGCTAATTGCATAATTTAATTTTAAAAATTAAATTCATAAACTGATATAGTTTGTAAATATTTAAAATTTTTTTATAGAACTCACAAAATCAAAATTTTTATCCAACTCTTCCAAAGACTGGTATTTCGCATCGTCTAATGTCAAAGGTGGAGTAATCTGGTTATAAAAGCAATATTGTATAATATAAGATTTATATAACTTTAATAATGATATTGCTAGGCTTAACGATATAATTATTATAAATTATGTTATCACAGTATTTTTCTTTTTTATTGGATAACTAAATATTTATTACATTTTATTTCATTCAAATTCCAACAACAAAATGGTATTTAAATTAAATTAAAAATACAAAATATAATTTAAATACAAATATTTAAATACACATGAGTGTCATATTAATCAATTCATATTCTAAGTTGGTGAGGGGGGGGGGGGTGGTGTTCTAAAAATTTTGAATTATAAACGTTATTTTAAAAAGTTAACAGCTTTTGCTAATTCTTTCAAATTCTTCTTTATACTGATATAATAAATACACTGGGAAGGGGAAGGGGGTAAAATTTTATTAGCGCAAATAATATTTACGAGAAAATATAGCAAAATGGTACCAATATTTACAATAATGAATCAATTATCCAGAATTGTTAAAAGATATCATACTTCAAGTGAGAGAACATTCTCAAACTGTAACTGGGACACTTGACGGCAGAGTGATGTTATATTTTATGAATAACAGCTGTATATTGAGATAATCCTTAAATATACTAAAATCCTGACACTCACTTATCATTATTCATTTCCTCTAAGGGGAGCGGGTCTGATATTAAATTATTTTATTTTTTCTGAGGTAATCCGTTTACAAATCAGTTGAAAACTTTAATAGTTCATCATCTCAAATTTATAATTTATCATATTGTGGTAATTAATGATGTTAAAAAGATGATTTGAGTCGAATTTTATAAAAGGCCCCATCAAGATTATAGCCAAAATAATATTGTATAAGTCTTAAAATATGGCGAAAAGATGTTCAAGCTTTTCTGTTATTAACTAGCATCACTAGGCTTAAATAATATTATTTTGATTATATTCTTAATCGGGTCTTAAAAATCGACCCAAATCGGGTTTTTAGCAACACTAGTCGTCATTCATTGCGTAAAATATAATCATGCTTTGTTTTTGCTTGGACATAATATTTAACAAATTGAATTCAAATAATATTTTTAAGAATTCCTATTTAATCGCGCGAAATCAAAAATTAACCGAAAAATGAATTCTTAAATGTTCAGAATTTTCTGAGCAATTAAGCAAAAAAATTCTCAGTTTTTCAATTTTTATTCTGTGCGAATTAATATGTCTGTTTAATTTATATTAAAAATAAAGTAGTTTCAACTTTCAATTTACTATTCTAGTTTTTAATTAGTTGCCGAGCCTGATTGACAGCATTCGGCTGTCGTCCAAACTTTCAAATTTGATGACTAGATTCCCACACGCTCCTACAATTTGAATAATTGAAATATTCCGATTCGATATATTGGATGATATCGTCAGTCGATTAAATCATGGTTAGTACAGTTAATTTCTTCATTAACTCATAACTTGATTCATAATAAGCAAAAAACATAATGCATGCCAGTGTCATCTTTCAATTTTTGACTCAGGTACAAGAGCTTCCAATGTTTACTTTTACTAAATTATCGCTCAGTTTTTCTAAGAAGGATGAGTAATTAAATAGAAATCATACACCTATACACCCAGAACCCCTACAGGATGTTTTATTTATTTTTGCCAGGTTTAAAAATTATACGCCTTGCTAAAAATAACATTTTTTTTTACAAAATGTCTACTAGGACGAATTTATTTTCTACAATTGTAAAGTGATAAGAATATAAAAGAATAATTACAAATTACAAAAAAAAGCGTTTAACAAAGATGAAAGGGAGAATAAAGAAATTATTTTTTAAAATAGAATGGGTAATATGATGATAATAATAAAAAAGAATTACAAAAATGGTAATTTATTTTTTTAGAAAATTGAGAAAGGATGAAATAAAATAGAAGAAAAAAATCGCATAAAATCAAAAAAAATTACAATCAAAATTAAAAATAATAAGTTTCAGGCATATACTTAGTAAAGAAAAATGCCCCAAAAAAGAATAACATTTCAGGATAATTAAAATTATAAATTTAACTTATTTTCCTCTTTTTTAAATGAGAATTTCCCTTTTTTTATTGACACTTTTACATTTTGATTTAACCTTTTTAATTTTTATAAAAAAAATTGCATAAAATTTAGTTAATTTTAGGATATAAAAATGTATTTTTTTAATATATAAATGAGAGAAATTTTTCATGTCGATAAATGTATATATAGTAATTATCTATCATAGGATTAATAAACAGATTTTAGAACTTCACTATTTTCAAAACAAATTGAATCTCACTTGTGAGATTTTTCAATTTATATTGATTAATTCTTATATTTTTGAACTTTTATAATTACTTCATCATTTTAATGCCCCAATTCAAAATTTCAATTTAAGAAAAATTTTAATTTATTTTATAATAAATATAATAAAATATTATACAATAGTTTAATAATTTTTCTTCCTTCACCTCTTAATAATTAAGCGATACTATTGTTTACTATAAATAAATAATAATTTTTTATTTTACTTTCGCTATTAGCCTCTCCAATTCTAATATAGTTGACATAATGTTTGTGAGTTGTTTATTCATTTGTTTCTTCTGTTCTTTTTGTTTCTCAGTGTCAGTTTTATTAATGTCGTGTAGTTTTAATTTTATTTCGTTCATGTTCATATACTTAGAAATAATTCGCTTCTTTTGTAATAAATTTCCAATATTCGTCATGTACTTTAAAGTGCTATTATAAAGAACACTTCCATTGTGAAAATCCTTGCCTGGGAGGGTTGATTCTGTTCTAAGGATGTGGAATAGGTTCCTGGAAGAATTTTTAGGATCGGGGAGAATATCTAATCTAAAAAACACAGAATTGAACTTGTCAGGAAAACCTTTTTTGGGGTATCTAACTTTTTTTTTAAGGAATGAATAACAAATGATTGGTAAATAAATTTGAAATTTATTAAATTTTATTAGTTTAAAAAAAATTGTTAAAGGAAAGAAAACTAACCGTATAAATGAAAGAAAATGTTTATTAACTTGATATTGAAGCATATGTTTTAGCATTTATAATAGTGATCTGCGACAGGTTTAATCTTACGAGCCCGGTCAGAATTTTGTTTGAGAAAATGGGTCAGATCGGCTCTATCCCGAACAAATTTATTTTATTTATCCCGAAAAGCCCGACCCGAAATAAAATCAGAAGCTCTTTGTCCGCCAGGCCCTGCCCATATTTTTTAATGTCTTTTTTAATTAGAAAAAAATATTCCACTAATAAAAAAATATTGGCACCTTGTTTCTTGCAAGAATTTTATAAATATATCAATTTATTTCACAAAATTTGAATGATATCATATTTAGAAATTTAATCTCGGCCCGAATTCTTTTAAGAGATATTAGATCAGACCTCAACCCGAATTTAAATTATTTTTGAAAAATGGACACGGGTATTTAATCAAAAATGTTATTAAATCATATTTTTATCCCATATTACCAGAACTTTGAGCAACAATGGCAATGCTAAGAATATTAGAATCTGAAATGCATAATATATTTTAAACCTTTTAAACCCAAAAAATATATTCCTTAAAATTTTTTTTCGTGACAGTTATATATTTTACAGACTTTAAATATAGTTTTTAATAAAGGACTAAATGGTTAAATAAATTTAAAAAGATAAATTAAAAATACTTTTTTTTGATGTGGAGGAGGCATCTATGAAAGGGGAAGGCTTTTTATTCACGCTTAACAAATCCCAGCCTCCGTATATATCTAATAGTTTCCTTAAAGGTATTCCTTGCAATTTTTTTCTATCGTTGGTCTTATCTAAACAAGAATCATAATAAATCTTAGCTTGTCTTTCGGCCATTCCTTCGTATTTCGTATTTGGATTTTCTTTATTTATTTATGGAATATGATTTAATATTATTTAAAATAAATACTCTATTAATTAAATAAGTATTTTGCTATGATTTTTAATAAATTAATGATTTCCTATTTTTAAAATTAGTTTGAATAATCGTATCGCTATATGTTATTTAATAGCGATATAAAAAATTATTTGCTTATGTTTAAATTAATATATTCTATCTATAAAATATAAATTCTAGGGATGAGCCTAATTATTCAAATGTAATCAATTCCTAATTATAATTACAATTATACTTATAAAATTCTGTTAATTATAATTACTAATTTCTTTTCTAAACGGTAATACGTTTAAATGTAATCTTAATGGCCTAATTATATCCTTTTATTTTACTTGTAAAAAAATTATGAGTATAGGATAATGATAAAATGTCATAAAACATTGTGACAAATTAAATAAATCTGAATGATATATTTATCAAACTATTTTCTTCCCCCCCCCCCCCCCATTTGGATACCTTCTTAACTATTACCATAATCTCTATTAAAAAACTGATTATAGAAAAAAAGCATATTATTAATTATTTGAACTCATTTTATTTTTATAATTTATTGTTTTATTAAACATAAATAAATTGTATTACATATTAAATCAACCACAAAACTCGATTCTCAGCCTGAAATTCTTTAATTTTTTAAAAAAGATTTCATGATCATAGTAATTTGTATACTACTTTCCAAATCAACCTAATTCCTGGGATATGGTCATTTTTAAAAAGTAACGAAAATATGTTCTATTTAATTTTAAATATCCTTAAAATTTTTTTTTTTACTAAAACCTAATTTAGAATTTATTATGGAGATCTATAATAGCTCTTTAATAATATGACATAAAATTTAATATAGTGAAAAGAGCATGGTCATAAAAATGAAACTTTTTTTTTCTTTATTTTTTTTTATAGGTATAGGCATTATATTTCCTTTTAGTAATCATAGACTAGGATGAACGCTAATCCAAGAGTTATGATTCATACAACAATTTGAACCTTTTCTTTATGCTTTGAATAAAGCATAATATCGTCTTGTATATTTTTAAATTCAATATAATTACTACTCTTAAATAAAAATTTTCATAGTTTAAATAGCTGTTTTTAAAAATTATACAAGTTTTACTAGATATTGCTATTTTTTAAATGTCTCGAAACAAATATATAAATAGAAATTTCATTCGAAAAAATTGTTCCTAAATAATTTCCTTAGATTAATAAATAGATTAACTTTACTATAATAAATAAAACTAATATATAAACTCTGGGACCAATTCTCCAAATTTTAACAAAATAATAAATAGTGCTAAATGTAGTAAATATGATAAAATTAATAGCATATAAAAACTTAAAAAATATTTCGCGTTTTTTAAAAGTATTAAACGCACAAAGTTACCGAATTATACGATATCATTTGAAGTAAAATCCACAAAATAAATATAACGACGATAATTTAAAAGAGGGAGTCAAGTAAGCCTAACCTATATATGTGAGCATACAATCTAAATTTTAAGTTTTAATTAAATTAATACTTATTTTAAATATAAATGATAATTAAATATTATTCATTATATTAAAATGCAAATTAATACTAATCCCAGTCTGGTATTTTTCAAAAATATATGAATTTTCTAAAAAATATTTGAAAGAAAATACAATATAGTTTTCTTTTATGCTATAATTCATATCAGTAATATTCAATTCTTTTAATCCTCTCCCAACCTCTTCTATCTTTCCATCCACTCATCTTCTATTCCATTCCTCCTTACTTCTTCCACTTAACTACCCGCTCTTCTTTCTTTCCCTTCTCTTTTTTCTCCTTCTTTCCTTTCTTTCTTACTTTTTTTTACCTAATAAATCTTTTATGGTGGAATAAATTGAGTCTAAAATCTGAAAAACATCATTCCATTTAGAATATCCAGTTGGAATCGAAGTCTTCTGCATGTAACCACCGCAAGCAAATTCGTAAAAGTTTGTGCATGGATCTATATCTTGATTCATTCTATATGTTATTTCACTTTCAAAATTCTTGGCTAAATCTTTTTGAAAAAAATGAAGTAATATTTAATATCATAATATATCAAAATTTTGGAAGACCTGTGTGACGTACGCCACTCCTTTGCCCCTCCTTATAAATTATAATTAACTACATATTATAATAAGAATTCTATATAATAATTATCAATTATTCATAGCTATGAATTGACCGAAACCCCCTGATTGAACATCGTGCATAGGATAGGCCTTTGCTATTTTGCACTAATTAACGTTGGCGCTTAAAAGGGAAATTGGATATCACAGTAAAAATTAATGACAAAAATCCAAATAAGGATGCACAGAAGGAGAAGATTAATGTCAACCATATAAAGCCAATGCTACTTTTTAGATGAAGAATTCACTAATTTTCACTTACTTACATTATTAATATTATACAAATTTTCAATTAAATTAATATTACACTAAATTCATGGGTCATTAAGCCCCGTGGACCACACCTAATTAGATATCCCTCTTTTTTTTTAAAATAATTTTTTAATTTTTTTTTTTCTTAAATTTCCCTTCTTTTAATTATATGTTTTTATATTGATTTTTTTGTTTTTAATATATATTTTTAATTCAATAGTGTATATAAATGTTCATGTTTTAATTTTTTTACCGAATAAAGTTTTATTTGAATGTTAAAAAAAAAATAAAATAAAAAAAAATAAAAAGATAACAAATTATAATTAATAAATAAATTAAATTAATATAAAATTATCTCCCCCCCCAATGGCAAATTCTGATTTTTAATTATCATTTTAAACATACAAACTTATCTATTCGCCCTTTTTTTTAAATATAGCTTAATAGTTTTTTAAAATATAGATATTAAATTTGAAATTCTTTGTGATATAAAAATACTTATAGCGATAATAAAAATAATCTGTCACTTTATTGATTATCAATATCTGACAAGAAAAAATAAAAAATTAAGAAATATTTAATAAAACTAATGCTGTTATTGAGATCGATGTTGATGTTGATGAAGAGATAGAAAAGAGAAGGTAAATTATTATTTATTATGATTATCTAATTTAGGATGCTTTAATTAAAATAATTATATTGATTTAAAACGCACTTTTGTTTTATATTTATATATTCGTTAATATTTAAATTTTAGGAGCTTTTATGCTTATATTTTAATGCACATAGATTGTTGTTTGTTTTATTTAATTTATCTTTATATTTACTAATTTAATTCAAGTTAGTCGTGTCCTTATTTATATTTGGCGATACTCGATTCACGTGCTCTTCATTCTATACGCGCTACCATAGGGATATTAACTTATAAAATGAATAAATAAATATACATATTTATTTTATAATAAAAAAAAATTAAATAAACGAAATTCATTATATTATAAAAAAATAAATTTTTGTCGTATGAAACTAGATGTCTCAGCTACTAGAATGATCGACGACCTAAGTACTGATAAAATAAATAGAAAATTGGTTCGCCATTATAGATCGTTGTTGTTAATATAACTATAAAAATTGAAAAAAAATAAAATGATTTAAAAAATTGTTTTTTAAATAGGAACTTTCTGATAAGATATAACATGTTATAACAAATATTGCTAATGTATAGCAAAATATACGACATTTCAATGAAAAAATATATTTTTTTTATTATCTTAATTATTCTTTAAATTATAACAAAGTTATTAGAAAAACAACGAAAACAACAAAAAAAAAACTTCAAAAGTTTAAAACATTCTTTAAGAATTAGACTTCTGTGATTTAGTATAAATTTAGATAGAGTTTTACAGGTCTTGAACGCGGCCACAAATTTTACAGATTCAGGCTAAAAAATTGCATTCATTTTAAAAAATTAGGACTGGATTATCAAGTATAAAAATTTGTACTTGAATAGGACCACTTACAAAATATTAATGTATTCAAGTTTATTTTAATTCAATAAAGAAACTAACTACCCTTCTTAATAAGAGCTACTAGAATGATCGAAGACACAAGTTCTGATAAAATCAATAGAAAAATTCGCCAATACAGATTGTTGTTGTTAATATGATTTAAAAAAATTACAAATTGTAAAATAATTTTTTTTTTTAATATGAACTTTATTCTGATAAAATACAATAATATTTTAACAAATATTGTTGATGTACGCATAAATCTAAGAAGAAATTTCATATCTTTAAATTATAATAGTTATTAAAAAAACAACGAAAAAAAAACACAAAAACCAATTCTTCAAAATTTTTAAAAAATTTTAAGAATTAGACTTCTGTGATTTAGTAGAAATTTTAATAGAGTATTACAGGTCTGAACGCAGCTTATAATTTTTTTAGATGCAGGCCATAAAATTGCAGTAATTTTAAAAAATTAGGATTATCAAGCATAAAAATTTATAGAAACCTGAACTATTAATAATATAATTGATTATTTTATTATTTACTAATCGAATCTTCAAATATCCGGCAAAATTTTGAAATAACAAAATTTTACAAACCGGAAAACCACAAAAGGGTTTAAATTTTTTTTAAATGAGGGGTAGACAAGAGAGTACAAAATATAAAAATGACAAAATTTAGAATAAAAATATTTTAAATTCAGGTCATTTAAACATTTAATAGTGTTAGATATAAAAATATAAAATAAATTTCTAATGAAAAGAATTAAAATTTAACATAATGATCGAAGACATAAATATCGATAAAATCATTAGAAATTTTTGATTCGCCATTAAAGATCGTTATTATTAATATAATTTTAAAATATTACAAATTGTGAAATAAAAATTTTTTTTTAAATATAAACTTTATTCTGATAAAACAATAATTTTTTAACAAATATAGCTGTTGTAATAGCATAAATTTATGAAGAAATTTCTTAGGAAATATATTAAAAAAATATAATTTTTTTATTATCTAATATGTTCTTTAAATTATAACAAAGATATTTGAAATACAAAGAAAACACAAAAAAAAATAATTCTTTAAAAGGTTTAAAAAATTTCTTTAAAAATTGGACTTGTGTGATTTAGTATAAATTTAAATAGATTTTTATGGGTCCTGTATCGGGATGTGCCAAGATGCAGGCCATAAAATTGGCTTAATTTTACAAAATTCGGGCTGGATTTTCAAGCAAATCAATTTGTAGAAACCTGATCAAGACCTACCCTAAAAATAACATATTCTTAAAATCTGGGTTGATTCATAGTAATTTGATTAATAATACAATTTATCATTTTAATAATTAATTTACTAATCGCATTTTCAAAATTTTCCGCAAAATTTATTTAAAATAACAAAATTTTACACCGGACAACCGCAAGAATTTAAATTTTTTAATAAAAATTAGGGGTAAGCAAGAGACTACAAAATAAAAAAATTGGATCAAATTTATAAAATATTTTAAATTCAGATCAAGTCAGGTCAGGTCTATCTCCAAAATTTGACATCTATATTAAATAATAATAAATAATAGGAATTAAACATATTATATGTTTATTGAACGCGACTTTTTAGCTTAGTTGTGTATTTGACCCATTACATCGGTTAAGAGGCGGCTTTAATATCGGATCATTGTAATTACTAAATAGTAATTGTAGGTGGCTGTATGGATATTTTAATTATTTATTTGGTTCTTGAATCCCTGAAAAATGATATTTACCGGTCAAATACAGCCAAATGTTCTTTATTATTTTATTTGACTATATATAAAACAATAAACAACGATTCATAAAATTCTGTATTTATAGTAGTTTTATCCAATCCACTAGATTCTGCTAATTTAAATAAAAGTCAAAACATTATATAATTTCCATTATATACAAACTTAATTTTTATTAGAATCTAATGTCTAAAAATTATTAATGTGAATATTAGTATTAAATCCTATTTTTTTTTAGAAAAAATTTGATCCTACTTCTTTGAAATAAAATTCTAGATAGGTTACCGATTAAAAAAAATATTGCAACTAAATTTGTAAAAACGTTCTAAAATCACTCGTCGTTAAAAAAAATTCTCTTATTATATATATATTAATAAATAATTTCCTACCTATAACGCCAGTAGGGCTTTTGCGAATTCATGATATACTGTTCTAAGTAAATTTTTTTTTAGAAACCAATGTTTTACTTATCTATATAAAACCTCTCATGTTCAAAATGGAATATATTAATATCACACATTATGTCTAAATATCAATCAAGCATTAAAAGTTGAAGCTTAATTTATTTAATATTATTAATTATATATTACAATACAAAAATAACATTAATCCAATTTATTTTAGCTGAGTCCAAAATCAAATCGCTAATTAACATATTACTCATTTTTATATTTAATTTACTATGGCTCTTTCTAAGAAAATTTCTACATCTTTATTAAAACTTTTAGTATATTCAATTAAAACAACTTTTACTCACTTATTTTATATTTATTAGATAAGAAAAAAGAAGAGATATGTTTTTAATGAACTGGGAAAAAATATTGATGTTGATGATTTTTTAATAAGAAGAAAAGGCGACATGGAGGGAATTAAATATCAACAAGATACATTTAAAATACAGTTTTTTAATTTCAGACTATGCTTTAGATGATAAAAGAAGATTAATTGTAGTTCAGAGAGATATTAATAATAGAGATTATATGTGAGGGTGAATCTGGATATAAACTATGATAGTAATAATTTTATTTTATTATTAAAGATGAAATTAGATAGGAATGCAATCAGATGGAAGTCTGATTTTGTTAGCAACAATCCATATAAAGGTTGGATAGAGAAGAAGTTGTAGTTCAACAAGGTACAATTAATGGGATACACTTTTAAACAAATTTTATTTAAAGTTTGGATAATGAAGATTAATTACGAATAATAGGGGGGTGGGGAGGAGGTTTTTAATTTTTTTTAGTTGAATCCCTGGTATTGTAAAGGTTAGTAATATCCATTGTTATTTAAAAATATATTTCATTTTGATATCGTTTATGTTGTATTTTATTTTTAAATTGAACCAGTTTTATTAAAATTATTTTCAAAAAAATAGATAAATAAATAAAATATATTTAAAAAAAAATATATTATTAAAAAATAATCGTATTTCTCTGAAATGATTTTATAGTAAATAAGAAAAAAAGGAAGGGGATTTATCAATTAAAAAGAAATGTTGTTTAGATATAAAATAAATATGAAAACTCATAATTTTAACTATTTATATTTTTATATGCTTATCT